CAAAAGTCTGGGTTGATGTATTTAAATAACAACCCTTTACCTATTTTTTGTTTTTTCTTCAGCCTAACTCTTCTACCGATAAAATTGATGAATATTATTAAAAGTTGTCTATTGAAATGCAAAGGTAATTTGTTTATTTGCCCTTCTTCAAACAAGTTTTTTCAATCTAGAACAGACAGTAACTTATAAACTATATTTTTAGAAAAGTAATAAGCTAATCAGACTTTTTCCAAAATTTTCCAAATATACACTTCAATTTCCACATGTTTTCTAAATCCACTTTTATGTCATTATACATTTTCCATCCATGTTATAAGCCACTTTTTACCTAAGGGTTACTTTATTACCTAACTTATCAAACAAAAACTAGCTTTTCTGCTTTCATCTAAAATTTAATTTTTCAGTTAGTATGTCAAACATAACCTAACACAGCGATCTTCATATTTTTAAATAAAAATCAATTTAGCTTCAGATTACAATCAGATTTAATATTTTTAAATTATTAACACCGGATGTAACATTTTCAACCAAAAGATGTACCACTACCAAACAAAAAAAAATCACAAACAATCAATGAACACAAGTATGATAGATTTGTGACAATATAGTCAACATAGATTTAAAAATCATCATCAGTAGGAAGAAACTTCAACTCCATCAGTGGTGATTGATGACCCGTTTGGCGGGTCATCAGCACGCAACTGAGCAGACACATCGTCTATTGCAGAATTCAGCTGAGCAATCTTATCTGTTAGTATTTTGCGTGTTTTCTGTTTCCAAAAATAAATAAATTAAATTAAAAGGTAAGTTTCAAATTCTACACATTATATATTAAAAATAAATATTTATATAATCATCACCTCCAAAGCTTTCTCTTCATCGTATATGAATTTTGGCAGCTTCCTCATTAGATCTTTTCGGTCTGCCCCTGCAAGTGCCTTGCTTATCTACATGAAAAAAATATAAAATTTCCAAATTATAAAAAAAAATAATGTACTTTTTTTTATTTATAAAAGTAGCTTCAAGCATACCTGAGGTGCATATATGGCTCCTAATGTTCCAACAACAATTCCTCCCAATACAAAACCACCAACAAATAAGCTGGCTCCACCTAGCCTATCATCATTTGCTCTGCAAATGCATACCAAAAAATTAAAAAATTAAAATGAACACCCAAATAAAGTGGGTTTTATTTATATTAGCAACATACCCAGCTCTCACAGTAAGTGATTTCTTGTGTTTTGTTAGTTTAGTTGCTCCACTGTGGCCAATAAACAGGTTACTGGAGCCTTGATCAACTTGCATCAATATACCTATCATCATTTTAAAGGAATGTAGTTTTGATTGAAGAAAAAGTATATTGAAAAAAGATAGAAATTGAAGTTTTCAAGACAGAATTTCAAGCAATTGTACATAGAGACAGAGTAAATTGACATTCTAAACAATCTAAGTATCTAACACCAAACAACAACTTCAACAACAAGAAATAAGATCCATAAAACCTAACTCGCATATGGAATCGCGAATATGTTGTCTAATTATAACTCAAAGTTCGTATATATGTCACTAAATCAAGATCAAACCACGAATTGAAGAGAATAGAATACAATTATGATATATTGTAGGGAGTTTTAACTTTTAACTCCCTGGGTTGAAACTAAAACTAGGAGGAATTCATTTAAGAACTTTGAGGATATTGACCTGCGATTTCCAATTCCGAACCTCCAATTCCTTTTCCGTCAATATGCGTTCGAAATTTAAGCAACATAATCAGCTAACTTCATGATTTTGCAAACAATACAATGCATCACAAGTTTGAGGGGGCGATGCTTGTATGAGAAATGTGAAACAAGTAATAATTTAGATATAAATAGCAAATCGAACGCTGTATTATACGTTTATGCAGCAGAATTGAAGTCGTTATAGTTATGATCAGATTTCTCAACGACAAACTGAAATTACGAAAAGAAAAGCTCAATTATGCAATCGGCATACCAGATAAGAACTGATTCCGGTGGGTTGGGAGTGAAACGAAGGAATTAGCGAGAGTAGTCATCCTTCTGAGCTCTGACAATAATTCCAGTGTACTGTGAGAGATAGAAGAACTTACGGTTCGATTTGAATCCACTTGTTTTCCCCTTTCGTTGATGTTTTCAACTACCATCAGAAATTGGGCCCTCATAATTACTTTAAAATGAAAGAGATATATTTTGATACTCTAGCCCAATTAAAAGGTCCAATCGGCTTCATGACTCAAAAAACAGGAAAAACTTAATTATTTTAAATTTATTAATAACACTTCTAATTAGATATGTATAAATAAAATAAAACTGAGAAAGAAGAGCATGTATTTACTTATTGGTTCATCATAAGATTTTAAATTTATTTTTTATAGCATTAGATTTTTAATTTTTTTATTAAGATATTATTTTTAAAAATCTACTTGCCCATAACATTGTACCCTTAAGGCCTTAACAGAGAGTAAGTATATGTATATTATACAAGAAAATAATTATCACAAATCAAGTTATATATATATGTATGCAAAGCCATATGGGCTTCATCACTCTTGCTATATATCGGCCATCTTGCTAATTTTTGATTAAGAGATTATTTTTTGCTTCATCACTCTTGCTATAACATTGTTTTAATGTCTATTTACCAATTTAACCCGGTTTTACTTATAATAATAAGTCAAAGAAAGTCAAAACATGTGAGGGAGGTTCAACATATAAGGGTTATTTTTGGATTTCCAGTAAACCTCAGGGGTGATTTAGATAATTTCTCACATAGTCGACACTAAAATAGTCAGAACGGGGTTGACTTTGACTATGTCAAATTAGTTCGATACCGCCATTATCATCATCAAAGAAGCAATCAAACAAGGAGACGGCAAGCTAAAATATTCAGAACGATCGACTTTTAAATAATTCCAAAAAATATATACAAGTCGTCATGGGCCCACCACTGACTTTGTTCCAACCGCCATTACTGCTCCATCACAACTTCATCACTACCATTAAACTAATACTAATTTCATTCTTCTTGTTCTTGCGTGGAGGATCAAATTAAACTCAAAAACCCTTCAATTCATCATCTGTTTCTAGTTTCTACATACATTTCTTCAAATAAGCGAAATCAATGTCTCAGAAACCTTGATTTTGTTCCTTGAGTTCTCTATTTCAGTTTGAAATGGCAGGAGGTGCAACCGAGGGTACACGGCAACTTGATCAAACACCCACATGGGCTGTTTCTGGTGTTTGTGCAATCATTATCATCGTCTCCATAGCTTTAGAGAAACTTCTTCACAAACTTGGAAAGGTATTTCGCTATTTCTCTTATTTTTCTTTCGTGTACATTGGTTTTTCCATTTTTTTTTTGTCGTAAACTTCGTCAGAATTTAGATGCAGATAAGTTGTTCGATGAATGTTCAATTGTTCATACATAAACTCTGTCTTTTCGATTTCAATCAGATAATATGAGTAATTGATTATCTCTGACATCATGAAAATTTCACAGTTTTTCACAGATAAGCATAAGAAATCAATGTTTGAAGCTTTGGAGAAGGTGAAAGCTGGTGAACATCTAAACATTTCTCATTTCCTTACACCATTTTTGTATAACAAACATTAATCTATATTCCATAACCTTTCTTTTATCATGGCAATGTGTAGAACTGATGGTTCTAGGGTTTATCTCGCTACTGTTGACTTTTAGTCAAAGTTACATTGTGAAAATATGCATCCCTGATAGCCTCGCTGATACAATGTTACCATGTGCTGTGAAAGAGAAAACTCAGAAAGATGAGAAATCAGAAGGAATCCATAGATTGCTTCTTTCGCTCCAACATGGTAGATTTCTAGCTGAATCTTCTACTTCTACTTGCAAGAAGGTAATTTTGATCTTTAGCGTTATTACATAATTGCCATTTTCGAAAACAATTCTGTTTTTTTTAAGAGTTAAAAAAGATTAATTTTTTTTTTTACTTTTTATAGGGTAAAGTACCGGTTATAACTGTTGATGGATTGCATCAATTGCACATACTCATATTCTTTCTTGCTGTCATCCACGTGGCATATAGTGCTATTACTATGACTCTTGGAAGGTTAAAAGTACGTTACCTTAAGTCCTTAACTACCAATTAACATTTAACATTTTTAATCTTAATTCGTTCCAAAATATTTTTACTTATATTTATATATGTAGATACGTGGGTGGAAACATTGGGAGGAGGAGACTTCAACCCATAATTACGAGTTTTCTAATGGTATAACAACTTTTATGACTTCATGAAAAAGGAAAAAAGAAGTAAATAAAGCAATATTATTATTATCCCAAGAATTTACACTATATGTAAAAAATTACTATTTCTCAATCATAATTTATTGAAAAATATACAGATCATTCACGATTCAGATTAACACATGAGACATCTTTTGTGAAAGCGCATACTAGTTTTTGGACTAGAGTTCCTTTCTTCTTTTACATTGTAAGTACTCAAGAGACAAGACCATGTTAAATTCTTTTTTCATCAAATGTTTTCTAGACAAATAATGTTTAAAAATATTTGAGAAGATGACAGCATACTTATGGAAATAGAAAAAAAAAGATAACGAAAAAATTGTAAAACTTTAGGACCTAACGGGAAAATTTTTATTTTTATTTTTCCTAACTATGAAAATACACTATTTACTGTGAAATTGGTCCCCTATTTAAGGTTATTTTTGGATTTTTCTTCATATTGACAACATTTTTTTTTGGAAAATCTCTCTCATGCAACCTAACACACTTCATTCTTGTACTATGAAGGGAAATGGTTTTTGAACATCACTAAAGAAAAAAAAAACTTCAAAAGAATATTTTTTTTATAAAAATCATGAGTTTCATAAAAATGTGAACAATTTCGCATTTCGCACTACATGATTTTTTTTTATAGTTTTTTAATATACATTTTGGTGGTGAGTATTAAGAAAATTATTTTCAAAGGGGCCATTGCAAAATTAGTTGCTATTTTGAGGCATAACTAAAGTTTTATGCTATTATGTGGCAAACCATTAGTCATTTTTTTTTCAAAATAAAAAGAAAAACATATATCCATATATAGCTTTTTAGATGAAGTTTTGCCCCCTTTTAATTCCATCAAGTAAAAAAACACCTAAGCTTGTTTTGTTTTTTGTAGGGATGTTTCTTTCGACAATTTTTCAGGTCTGTTAGCAAGTCTGACTATTTAACTGTACGAAATGGGTTCATAAATGTAGGTTTACTTTTTACCTTTTCCATTATTTAATTTGAGTAAATTTGTTTTATTGGCTCCACATAAATTAACTGTTAGTTATTTTTAAATTTTTAATTTTTATGTAGGTTCATTTAGCTCGCGGGAGTAAATTTAACTTCCAAAAGTATGTTAAAAGGTCATTAGAGGATGATTTCCAAGTGGTTGTAGGAATCAGGTACAAAATATTTATTTATCTAATTACACTCATTATTATTGAAGATATTCATTTGCTTTTTAACTTATTTACATTTTTATTTTTATTTTTTCAGTCCTGTACTCTGGGCATCGTTTGTTCTTTTCTTGCTTCTCAATGTTAATCGTAAGCCTATTAAAACCCTACACTTTTGAGTGTCAAAAAGCAAAGTCTTTTAACTATGACATTTTTAAATTTGAAGGCTGGCAAGCTATGTTTTGGGCATCATTGCTTCCATTGGTTGTAAGTGTTTTTTTTTTTTTTTCTTTTTCTTTTTTGTTTTGAGGATAAATTAGAAAACAAAAAGTATTATGACACGATTTGTCACAGGTTATTTTAGCAGTTGGAACAAAACTTCAAGCCATTTTGACGAAAATGGCTCTTGAAATCACCGAAAGACATGCTGTTGTTCAAGGGATTCCACTCGTACAAGCTTCCGATAAATATTTTTGGTTCTCAAAACCGCATTTGATTCTTCATCTTATTCACTTTGCTCTGTTTCAGGTAAACCATGCTACTTTAATTCTTGTACACTTTAAGAAAAATGTTTCACTATTCGTGAAATATCTGTAAAAACAAAAGGAATCTTATTATTATATATCTGAATCAATCCCATCGATTTATCTGAATGATTGTAAAGGACAAATAGGGAATTTTAACTCGTTAAACTTTCCAAAAGTGGAAATATTAACTTTTATTTTATTTTATTTGTTTCTTGTGCTCACAGAATGCATTCCAAATAACGTATTTCTTCTGGATATGGGTAACGTACACCTACTTCACTCTAGAAGTTTACATAAATCGTTCGTGACAATGACATGTTTTGTTTTGTTTTTACTTTTGCAGTATGAATATAAGATCGGTTCTTGCTTTCATGATAATATCAAACTCGTAATTTTGAAACTTGTTATAGGGTAAGAACGTAATTTCCCATTAAAAACAGCCACTTCATTGAAAACTTGAAATCCTACATAAATGTTTTTGTCTTGTAGGGTTGGGGTCCTCATATTGTGTAGCTACATAACACTTCCTCTCTACGCCCTTGTATCCCAGGTATAATTTCGAGAATAAGAAGGGTATTTATGTCTTTTCCACTGAGAAAAGATTAAGAGAAAGTCGTGTCTCAAGTCCCATTTGGGTGGGACAAAAAATTACAATTTTTGTCCTATTGATATCAGTCAAACAGACACAGTACAACCTGTTATATCTATCATGTTCTGATACGAATACTTTGAACTTGGTGTTTAGATGGGGTCAAACATGAAGAAATCTATCTTTGATGAACAAACATCCAAAGCTCTCATGAACTGGCGGATGGCGGCGGTGAAGAAAAAGCGTGGCGGCGGCAATGGTGGAAGTACAGGCGGCAATTCGCCTATACGAACACCCGAGACCCCTTTTAGTCCTGGCCCCACCACGCCTCCTTCCATGATGTCACAATCCACCGGAGCAGCCCTCCACCACCCCAAGACTACCACCGCCGCCGCCTTCTCCCCACTGTCTACTGAATCATCCGCCACACACTTGATAAATGTACGAGTCGATCATCAAAACGGTGACATGATTAAATCCAATATTCCTCAAAGAGATTACACCAAGAACGAAGATGACTTTTCATTTGATAAGCCTAGTACTAAATACTAACTTAATTGACCCGTTACTGCCTGTTGGATAGATCCATATCCTGATCCACATCACAACCCGGTATCATCAAAGTTGCCTATGAAAAATCCGGCATGTATTTGGAGGCTAACATATGGTTCTTTTTCCATATAATCGATTTTTATCTAAAATAAAATCATTTCGATGAGTTACTTCGTGTGTAGGTACGTTTTTTTGTGACGTGGCGTCATATAAGTAAGTTACACGTCAAAATCAAATATTTATGTTTATTAGTACTTATTACCTAATTTTGTTCACAACGTGTCCTTTATCTGAACATCGTCTAGATTTTTTTTGGTGAATTTTACATCATATTAAATTCTATTTTTGTAGGGTGACGAAGTATCGATTTCAAGTCTTTAATTAATGAACAAGATATTAAAACGTTAAGACTCGACTAGACAGAGTAATTAATATTAATATTGTTATTTTGATTTCTATATATTTAATTAGTGACATCGTATAGATTTTTTTGGTGAATTTTACATCATATTAAATTCTTTTTTTGTAAGAGTGGCGAAGTATCGATTTCAAGTCTTTAAATCATGACAAAGCTATTCAAACGTAAAGACTCGACTACACAGAGTAATTACTACTGTTATTATATTTATTTAGTGACTGATAGATATTTAAATATTTTGGTTAGAATGCAAAATCTATTTAAAAATTAACCTGGATTTTATTAGATACGTCGAACAACAATCGGAGTTAGATAACGGTTGGTAAGATATTTTCCGTCAGTTACTTTAATAATATCAACCTTTTCATGTTAGGTGAAACAACCAAAGCCAGTAATAAGAAAATGGAGATATATCAACTTTAAAGGGAAGAAAACGTGAATTATATATTTTTGGTCCTTTCACTTATACTCACCATACTATTTTGGGTATTTTGGCAAATTCTAACGTAAATTCAAATTTTGTTCATATACATGAAATGATTTGGCAATTTAACAAGATGTACATAGGTATCTGTATTTAAAAGTTATTAGTTGTATGTTTCATCATACTTAAGCTTGAACAAATCCATGCATTGTTTACGACTTGTGACCAACCTACTTTCGCGTTCATTAACAAATTGGCAACCTACTACATGGAGGCTTGTTCGAATCCAGGCTTCGAAAATAAGTTTGTTATATAGAGTATACCAATTTCCTAAAAACTACTTGACTTTTTATTTTTTAAAACCTATGAAATAATAACGATTTTGTATGTAGTCTTGAATGACATAATTGTGAAATGAAAATCATATTTCCTATTAGTTAGAATAGTATTATTTATCAACATATCTTTAAAAAAGTGTCATTTATAATGCACTGGTTATTGTTGTCCTAATAGAAATATCACTATGTCGGTATGTTGGGGGCAATTTCTCTAAAGTATTTCATTTGGGGTTTAAAATTAGCAATGTAAATGCATTTTAAAAGGAAAGGTGCATAGCAAAAATAAAAGATCCAAAAATCCTACACAATTTTAATTCATAAAATTGTAGCAAACACATGCTATATGTCAAGATTGTTATATATAAAATCTCAAAAGATGGAAGAATATCCACTGCAACTTATATATAAAACTAGGTGTCAGCGTCTTGCGCAGAATAAAATTAAAACTTTTGGTAATCTTATGTTATTGAAAATATTTATATCATTTATATTAACTACAAAATAATAATTATTACATTTAGTTTATATAAAATTATAATTAATTTGAACAATAGATAAAATAACGCTTATTAAAATCAAATCATTTAATGGTCTCTATTCATGTTTTACGTGTGTATAACATTAATTATATCTGTAAATTATTTTAATTTACTGTTGATATGATTTATCAATTTTTTAAAGAAAAAATGACGGTGTTTTAATTTCATCATGATGATTATTTAAATTATCAACAACCGTTTGTAATCTAACATATTTAATTTCTAAGTTTCTATTATTTTAACTATTATTATTATAAATTAATTTAAAACAACTTAATTGAATTTTAGTTATTTTAAAATATAGTTTTCAGACACTTTTTAGTTAATTCGATTCATCTAGGTTCTTTTATATTTATTATATTTAATGTTTTCCTTTTAACTATGTTAAAAAAATATATATTGAATTTTTTTAAAACTTTATTTGATATTTTACTTTAGGTTTTAAATTTTATACTAAATTTTTAAGCTTCTTTGATATATTAATGTAGGTTATTTATTTAATAATATATTGAAGTTAACAAATTAAGTATATCATATTGATAAGTCATAAAGTCTTCCATTTATGATAATGTTTACAACTAAAAACATATTTAAGTTAATAAATTAAGTATATTATATGGAAATATGAAAAGTTGGGAGTTTGAAATGAATGTAGTGAAAGAAAAAATGTTTCTTTTATAATATAGTATGACGTTGCATGGTGAGTGCTCGTTGACAAGAGACAAAACTAAACATGTGTTTTAGATGTTTAGTTTCTTGAAAATGGTATCTCATTAAACAAATGTAAATGTAAGGATATAACAATTTAGAGTAAATTACATCATTCGTCCATAAAATAAGGTCAAATTGCGCGTTTAGTTCCTATGTTTAAAAATCAACTTTGTTTGTTCTTTATATCGTTAAAAGTTGCATGTTTTGTCCCTATCAAACATGAAATAACTATAATGTCGTTTTCTATTTCTTTTTCATTTACTTTTTCAGATTTTTGATTATTTTTAATTATTAAAAATGTTTTAATTAAACTTGTGGGTCCCACCCCACCCCACCCCACCCCACCCCCACCAGTTTGTACTATTTCCTTCTTCTCTCATCTTCAACCTAAAAACACAAGGTCCACATCTTCTCCTCTCTGCTAAGACTAATACATTTACCTCCGTCTCCATTGGAAACAACCTACATATCCGTCAGAAACCATCATTCTCTCATTATCAATAAGACACCGACCTACTAGCCACATTATGAAACCTCCCTCATTAAACCCTTACCCTCACCACTCACTCCTCCTCCTTCACTACCAACTGTCAGAGTAAATCACTCAAAACCTTAACCTCAAAATCAAAATTAAAATCACATAAAACGAATTCAGACCTAAAATTCAAAATGTAACATGAATTCAAATATGAAACTCAAAATGTAAGTTGTAATCAAACTTAAAATCGAACCCGGAATCAAACCTGGAAATCAAACCCATAATCGATATATAGAGAGTATGACGGGAAGAAGATATGTGGAGAAACGGGAAGAGCAACAGTAGAACTATTGTTGTTGGTGCGACATTGTTGCCTCTCTTGGCGAAGGCGTTAATAAAAAATGAAGGCGATGGTGGTTTTGTCACACCCCCGAACCGTCAGAAATAACGGCAGAAACGTCCGGGGGCGGGTGACGTCATGCGTAGTATCACAACAGTTGTATCATAGTAAGCAAAGCAAACACAACCATTACATTACAATATGATTATTTACATCTGTTTGAAAACATAGTTTGCACATAAGAGTATATAAAAAAAGTAAAAGACGTGACTCCAAATGCTCCGTCTTCTCCAAAAGTTGATAAAAGTACCTGTCTATTTCTGCCCTGAGAATACAAGCAGTTTGAAAGAGTATCAGCATAAAGCTGGTGAGTTCATAAGTATTTAGTTCTGGTAAAAAAAATGTTTCTTTGATCCTTTGAAAAGTAT